CAAGCTTGTGAGATAAGGAATGGTAAATTAATCTCATTTTATAGTAAAGAAGCCGACTGTATTCTCACTCGAAGAATCTCCTCAGCGAAGACTTCCATTTCGTATGAAACCACATTCTGAAGAGATTCGTGGATCAATTTAACCAGAAGACGTTTGCCGATTCGCGTTGTACTGCAGCATTAATAGGATGTTCAGGTTGATTCAGTACACTTGGCATCCTCGGACATTTCGGGCGAAAACTCGCCAAACTTGCATTCGTGATGTGGCGGACAAGTTAAAACTAAGTCAAGAAGACTGACCAGCTTTTTCTATATGATATATATATACTTAAAGCGAGTAAAATTTAAGATAAAGATGGATATATAGAACTCAGACTAAGGGGTTATGACTGGTGGTTTTGTAACCCGACTTTCACGGGTACATACTTACATCTCAACAATTCGACCAGGGCTACTAACAGACTTATGGAGAAAAAGTGGGTTTCGAAGAATTCCTGCCACAATATTACTTACGCAGTAACGCAATCTCGGTCATCCTTCTTAATATTCCAAGGGCCATCAAGCCTTGATCATCCAGGGCCGACATTACCCTAGATCATGACCAGCTTTGCATACATACTTTAACACAGACACACTCGAGTATATGTGAATTAACCCAACCTTTCTATATCCATCTATATCTTAAATTTTGCTCTCAATGAGTATATATTTCATATATAAAAAGCTGGTTAGTCTTCTTGACTTAGTTTTAACTTGAGGCTTTTACAAGAATGCGTCCCAGATCTGATGATGTTCGTAATATAACGAAGGCTCAGTCCATATTCGCCTAAAACGCTGGAGGATGTCTCGTGGAATTTATCAACCCAAACATCACATTAATGCCAAACGTCTTCTGGTGAGACTGACCTACGGATCTCTACATAATATACATCGATACGAAATGAAATTCTTGACATCGAACAAGAATATGGTCTTAGTTACCCTGGGTCACTTAAGGTGATTTAAAGACTGGCAACGAATTCTTCCACGATAAGAAAAGTAGGCCTCATGATGCTGTTGAATTTTATTCATCATTGCCTCCGAAAGGGTGATCACACCCAGGTTGGACTATAGTTTCGGAATCGCCTGGATCTCATCAGCACCCCAACGGAATTTGACGGTTAGAGTTTTGGAAAAATTTTACTCAAATTTAGATTTTAAGCTCTAATGCAACGTTAACTAAAAAAGAATCTTTTAGGGAAAGTATCCAAACGCAAAATGTATTAAGAAAAGGACCAGAAAGGCCAGTTGTACCATTACTTTTTGAAATGATTAATAAAACTGTAATTGTAATTAGAATCTTTAATAACATGAGAAATACTAACACAAGTGAAATTTAGGAGCGAATACTTACTATTTTAGAGCGATTCCCTTTAGCTAGCATAACTTTACTACCACCGGCTTGCTGGAACTGAGGCACATAGCTGTCCATTCGGCCAGCGGTGGTCGGACCAAACGAACCACTTGCATACCCGGGGGGAGTTTTCGCAGGCCCAGCATAATAGACGGGATGCTTGAGCATATAATCGGGTAAAGGCTGGCCTGAATCAAGGCGTTCCTGTCAGGACAAGTGAATATGGGAATATGGGTTTAGAATGGGAAAAATGACAAGCTAGGGCGAAATAGCAAGTTTTTATTCTCCAAAATAGATCTTTCTGGCCAAAATAAATGTAAAAAAGATGACAATGCTAAAAATACGAAAATGAATCCAGGTAAAAACCCAAATTTAGGGAATAGGCTAATTTTTACGAAAAAATCGAATTCTATGATAGTGTGCTTGATTTTTATGATAGCAATAATATTATTTTTGCGAAGAAAAGTTGGGTTTCGAGGAATCTCTTGCTTCATAATTGTTGAAAATACTTCCATTTCGAGTGAAAGTGTTGGGTGAAGAGATTCGAAGGTCGGTTCCACCAGAAGACTACGGCGGATTTATCTTGACCAGCTGTAGATTGGCTTTACTGGAAGATTTATGCCGACGCTGTTTCCGAGGTAATCTCAGCGTCAGCATAAATCTTCCAGTAAAGCCAATGGACAGCTGATCAAGAGGAATCCGCCGTCTTCTGGTGGAACCGAACTTCGAATCTCTTCACCCAACACGTTCACTCGAAATGGAAGTAAGCTCAACTATTATTTTTGCAGTACTCCAATATTGATGAAGGCGAAAAACCATTCATACAATGAGATTTAATAGAAATTGAAAAGATGGTCACTTCTAGTATGAAAAAATCCTATTTATTGAGAGTGGCTCTTAAGAGTATTCGTAATACTTTCCGGAACTATCAGTAAATTTTGGATATTAACATGAATCATTTTAGGTTGCTTAAGGTAATGCGGGACTGGTAGTGGAATTTTGTTCAATGACTGGCCTCCCAATACCACTGGAGTTAGCTTATACTTGCTCCTCAGAAGGCTTTCAAATCCAAGGTAGAAAACAATTTTGATATGATCAAGAACATATCAGCAATCCAAATGAATTTGAAACGGGGCAACATCAAGCGACCAGATTACCACACGCAAGGCAAGTCAGGCCTTTCAAAATTCAGTATAACCGGTACCGATTAATCTAATACGATCAATGAAGTTACCTTATTCGTAATAAGACAGTTTCCAAGGCCAAATTTAAATGTAATGCAATATAATTGCGAGGCTAGTAGTTGATCAGTTATTCTTGCTAAAGAGAGAATTATGTCACAGCACTGTCTTGTCTTAGTTTTTGTTTGATAATTCGTATCAGATCTTTAATGACTAATGCGTCATCTAGATAATATTGCCTTCTATCTCGAGACAAATTTTAAAGCCAAATGCTCATAGAATGAAAACTATCAAAGTGATTAAGTAAGATTTTGAAAAATTGCGCAATTCAGTTTATGATCCATACAACTTTTGGGTAATAAATCCAGGATTTTACAGTATTTAGATTCATGCTAAGTGCGAATAAAATGATCGTTTATGTATTAGGTAGCATATTATAATAATATGAAAACTATATTGAATAAGTTTACGAGTAAAATCAAGATAATAACACCTTTATTTTTGCATGAGCAATGTCTCGGGCGACGACTAAAGTCCCTGACAAGGAGAGACGAGTCCGAACAGGATACTTCGAGAGTTCAGCCAAAATCTGGCTCATAGGGAGATCCAAATTAATTTTTAGGACTTCCTCTGATAGATGCGATGAGCTGGGCTCAGGAAAATACTTGGATGGATCAGTCTCCAATTTTTCTAAAAAAATTCCGGAGCTCGTAATTCGCCCCATTATCTGTATTAGATAAAAGACAGTGTTTTAAATCAATGGAGGTACTTAATTAAGCAGAATAGAAGAAATAACGATAGATAAATATTGAATTTGTGCTAAGCTTGGCTGTATAGCCGGTAAATGAATGCGCAGGCTGACTAAGTAGTCTCAATATCACGATCTATCGTAATTGAATACAGCAGAAGAGTGAAAAAAATACTGCCAAATTATTTGTTATGGGTCAATCGACTATTATAATGTTTTGAATAGATATCTTTGCGGGGTAAATTGGCCTGTATTGAAATTGATGTTTTAAGTAGTACTGGAAAAAT